AAGACACGGAACATTCCCATTACCCCAGAAAGTTCTTTCTTTTTTTAAAGATTTTATTTATTTACTTGAGAGAGAGAGAATGAGAGATAGAGAGCACAAGAGGGAAGAGGGTCAGAGGGAGAAGCAGACTCCCTGCCGAGCAGGGAGCCCGATGCGGGACTCGATCCCGGGACTCCAGGATCATGCCCTGAGCCGAAGGCAGTCGCTTAACCAACTGAGCCACCCAGGCGCCCCAGAAAGTTCTTTCTTGTCCCTTTCTTGTCCCCAGATACTTCTTCCCTATATACCCCAAAGCAAACAGTGATTTCTATCAGCATGGGTTATTTTTGCCAATTCTAGAATTTACTACGGTGAGATTGTAGTCATATTTTGTGCATTTTTGTGTCTGCTGCTTTCCCTCAGCAAAAAATTTTTGAGACTTATCTATGTCATTACACAGATCAGTAATTCTTTTTGTTGCTGTGTAGTCTTTATTCCATTGTATAAATATAGCACAATTTATCCATTCTCAGATTGATGGAAACCTGGGATGTTCCCAGTTTTTGGTTACTATGAGTAAAGGTGCTATGAACATATTTACCAAGGTTGTTTTGTTTTTATGGGCATATGCTTTCATTTCTCTTGGGGAAACTCCTAGAGGTGACATGGCTGGGTGGATGTATGCTCAGCTTTTTAAGAAACTGTCAGTTCTACAAAGTGGTTGTAATATTTTCTGCAAGTACTGGCCATGTATTAGAATTCCTGCTGCTCCACATCCTTACCAAATTTTGGCATTGTCTTTTTCATTTTGGCCATTCTAGTGAATGAGCATTTTTTTAAAGATTTATTTACTTTAGAGGGAGTACACCAGGGGTGGGGGCGGGGAAGGAAGGGGAGCAGAGGGAGAGAGAGAGAGAGAAGCAGATTCCCCACGGAGTGCAGAGGCAGTCACAGGGCTCAATCCCACAGCGCCGAGATCATGACCTGAGCTGAAACCAAGAGTCACTCAACTGACTGAGCCACCCAGGTGCCCCTCTAGTGAGTGTTCAGTGATATCTCATTCTGGTGTGATGACTAATGGTAGTTAATACTTTTTCATGTGCTTATTGGCTGCTTGGCATTGTTTATTCAAGCCTCTTGCCCATTTTTTGTTAGGTTGTTTGTCTTTATTATTGAGTTGTAGGAGTTGTGTATATATTCTGGATACAAGTCCTTTGTTAAATGTATATGCTGCAAATATTTTATAAACAAAATTTTAGCAAATTGAATCCAATAATAATAAAATAATAGAAATTTAAAAAGTCATGACCAAGTGGGATTATCTAAAAAATGCAGGGTTGGTTTAACCAAAATCAATAAATGTACTTCACTGTATTAACAAGCTAAAAACAAAAGTATATGATTATCTCAATACATGCAGAAAAAAATTGACAAAATCCAACAGTCATTCCTGATTTAAAAAACAAACAACTCTCACCAAACTTGGAATAGAAGGCAATGTCCTCAACCTGACACAGGACATCTACATCCACAGGTAATATCATACCGGTAAAAAACTGAATGCTTACCCCTGAAGATTAGAACAAGGTGAGGATGTCTGATCGCACCACTTCTATTCAACATTGTAATGGAGGTTCTGGCCAAGGCAACTGGCAAGCAAATGGAATAAAAGGAATCTTAGATTGGGAAAGACATTATTTTACTTTTATTTTTTAAGAATTATTCATTTGACGGCTGCCTGAGTGGCTCAGTCCTTAAGCGTCTGCCTTCGGCTCTAGTCGTGATCCCAGATCAAGCTCCACATCGGGCTCCCTGCTCGGCTGGAAGCCTGCTTCTCCCTCTCCCACTCCCCCTGCTTGTGTTCCTTCTCTCGCTGTGTCTCTGTCAAATAAATAAAAAAAATCTTAAAAAAAAAAAAAAGAATTATTCATTTGAGAATGAGAGAGAACAATTTGGGGGAGAGGGAAAATCTCAAGCCAACTCCCCATTGAGCATGGACCCCAAAGGGGAGCTCCATCCTAGGACCCCAAGATCATGACCTGAGCGGAAATCAAGAGCCAGAAGCTCAACGGACTGAGCCATCCAGTTGTCCTGGAAAAGACATTTTAAAAAATCCTTCTTTGCTTCAAAAGATACCATAAACAAAGTAAAAGGTAAGTCAAAACTTGGAAAGGATACATTCCTAATAAAGGATTAATGTTAAATTTCTGTAAAGAACTTCTATAAGCCAGGAAGAAAAAGACAACCTGAGAGAAAAACGCATGAAGTGAGAAGTTAATTCAAAGAGAGAACACACAAATGGCTAACACTGTGAAAAGATGCTGAATCTCACCAATAAGAGAACAGCAAACATCTCACAATGAAATACCATTTTCTACCCATACTTTTTAATTTAAAAAGCTGACACTACCAAGCATTGGTGAGGATGTGGAGCAAGTGGAACTCCTAACCGTTGCTAGGAGGCATATGAAAAGGTGCAATCCTGGGGCGCCTGGGTGGCTCAGTCATTAAGCGTCTGCCTTTGGCTCAGGTCATGACCCCAGGGTCCTGGGACTGAGCCCCACATCGGACTCTGCTCAGCGGAAAGCCTGCTTCTCCCTCTCCCACTCCCCCTGCTTGTGTTCCCTCTCTCGCTGTGTCTCTCTCTGTCAAATAAATAAATAAAATCTTTAAAAAGAAAAGGTGCAATCCTTTTGGAAACATCTACCAACGCTGGACATAAATATTCATTTGCTATGGCCCATCAGTACCACTCTGAGGGCTTACCCCAGAGAGACCCTGCATCTGTCCATAAGGAGACCTGTATATGAATTTTCATAGCAACATCATTTATAGGAGCTGGAAGCCTTTTGCTTGCAATGCTCTTCCCCCAGATACCTGCATGGCTGGCTTTCTCCCTGCCTTTAGGTCTTTGCTTGCATATTACCTTCTTAGTGGGCCCTTCCCTGAGCCACCAACTTAAAATCACAACCACCTCCTCCCCCATTCTTTGCCCCCTCTCCTTACTTGGCCTTTAGCAATTAACCCCATCCGATGTGTTATATATTTTACTTATTTCTCTCTCTCTCTTTTTTTTTTTTAAGGTTTTATGTCAGAGAGAGAGAGTGAAAGCACAAGCAGAGGGAGCAGCAGGTGCAGCAGGCAGAGGGAGAAGCAGGCTCCCCGCCAAGCAAAGATCCCCTGGCGAGGCTCGATTCCAGGACCCTGGGATCATGACCTGAGCTGGAGGCAGACGCTTAGCTGACTAGAGCCACCCAGGCATCCCTTTACTTATTTTTCTATTGTGCACTCTCCTCCAGAATGTGAGCTCCTTGAGGGCAGTGGTTTTGTGATTTTTACTCACTACTTTATTCCCAGCTCCTGCATTATTGGTTCTTATTTTTTTTAAAGATTTATTTACTTATTTGAGAGAGAGACAGAGAGAGCACATGAGAGAGTTGGGGGGAGGGACAGACAGAATCTCCAGCAGATTCCCTGCTGAGCCTGCAGCCTGATGCAGGGGCTCAATCTCGGGACCCTGAAATCATGAACTGAACTGAAATCAAGAGTTGGATGCTTAACCGACTGAGCCACCCAGGCACCCTGCATACTAGGTTCTTTAATGAATATTTACTGAAGGAACGTAAGTAGCCATCAAAAGTAGACAGTATAAACAAGTTCTGGTATACTCATTTAACAGGAAACTAGACAGCCGTGAAAATAAATAAAGCTTCACATATCAAAAAGGATAAATCTTGGAATGATAAATACATACAGCAAAAAATGCAAGTTGCAGATAAAATCTTATATTGATACATTTATATGAATGCAAAACATGCAAAGTAAATGTTTTGTATTGCTCTGGGATACATATATGTTGTAAAATTTCCAAAAACACAGAGCAATCCACATTTCGTCCAGGATAGTGGCTGTCTCTGAAAGGCAGTTTCTATGGAAGAGGGGAACATGGGGGTTTCAGCTACATGGATAATTTTTTTTTCCAGCTTAGGAGTGTTTTCATAGGGTTTCACTGAATTCTTTACAACTTTATTATATTTTACATGTTTTTCTTGAAAGAAAAATGAGCAGACCTCTACCATTAAATCCCTGGGACGAGAGAAACTGGAGGCTGAATGCTGAGCTGGTGGCAAAGGCAGCAAGGAAGAGCTGTGCAAGGGGAAGCTTCTGCATGGCCACTGACAGCAGAGAGGCATGCTGACTTCCATGTGGAGGACTCACAATCCCACAGAATGTTGAACTTAATGACTCCTGGGCTCCTAGCTGGTGGAGATGAGTTAATCCTAGGATTTGAGAGCATAGATAACTTCAAGTCTAACTTATTTGTACTAGTTATTTTACTGTTGGTGACCCTACGGTTATACTCTCACAAAAGGTCTTATTTGTTCCAAGAATGTGCCCTGGACTCCCCTTCCTTTACCTTTCATTCTCATCATCTGGCTGTGAAGAAATTGAACCAGTCAGAGCCCTTCGGGTGGTAGGGGGTGACCACTCTTTAGGCGTCTCTCAGAGGAAAGGCATGCCCCAGGAGTACCTAGGTTCTCCTACTGCTCTGATCTTGTCCCATCTTGTCCCATTCACAAAACTGGCAGCTCAGAAATAGCCCAGACCCCCGTAGGAGGGGCATCCGAGACGGCTGTGCCGCCCAGCCTTTGTGACCTCATAGCTTGGAGAGACCAGAGTGCTGTGCAGCACACTGGGGTAAACGGAGTGGGGGAGGGCTTGCGTCAGAGGAAGCCGAGTCCTCACACTCCCGTAACCCACTCTCTACCCGAAAAGGCCCTTGGTGAATAGCTGTTCCTTGAGAAGCCTGCCTTGCTCTGGGTATTACAGGCTGGACTGCCGCTCATGAAGCAAAACCTTGAACCTCCTACCTGCTGTCTCTACCTTTAAAATACTAACCTCCGCAACTGGACGCTGATCACTGTGATCTAAGCCGCCATCATTCACACCACCGATTACTGCCTTGGTTTCAGGGGTCATCCTGCTCCTTCCCTCACCCCCTTAGTCTGTTCTCCACACAGAAACAGAGGTGACCTTTTGGTGAGGTCAGAGCTCATCAGGGCTCTGCTCCCAACCATGCGATGGCTTCTCATTTCACTCAAAGCCAGAGCCAGAGCCATCACGATGCCCCTAAGGCTGCCTGCCGTCAGGCCCCTCGTTGCCCCTCTCTGGTCACCGTGCAGTCGAAACTAGGGTGGACAAACGCACAGGCAGGATGAATCGGGGACAAGGAGGAAAGGTGGGGAGCCAGGGAAGCTCGGGGAGAGGGTCACTTCAAACTCCGGTGGGAAGGCGGTTCCAACAGGGTCCCCAAGAGCTGTCAATGGGCTTGGGGTTTCCAGCCTCAGCTGGTGCTGCAGGCTGGGGGGTGGTCCAGGGATCCTCCTTGTGCTGGGTGAGGAGCCCTTTCGTCATCCTGGTCCATGCCCTTGACTAGTGGTTTCAGTAACAGCCGCCAGGCAGAGATTTCGTTAACCGTGTTCCCTGCTCTAGTCTTCAGCGCCTCGCAACGAACGCTCCCTCCAGGAAACAGCACAACATAGGTCGATGGTAATTTAGGCTCCCATAAAGCTTCACCATCTAGAAAGAGATCTGGGAACAATCCCCTATGTTCTAAACACAAGGGCTTCATATAAGAGAAGCTTCAAACCAGCCTCATCTGGAAAGGGAGCGCAGAACAGCCACTTCCTCACAGTATTGTAAATATTAAATGAAAGGACCCCTTGAAAGCGTTCAGACCTGCGTATGGGACGCAGAAAACGATCAGATTTCGTCAAGGTCGCATTGCCCAGGGCAGCTACCGTGAGCCCCCATTTCACAGACGGGCAAACTGAGGCTCACGGGGTCGCGACCTACCCAGGCCTTCCGGAGTTCGGCAGCGGCGGCAGGGAGGGTGGTCCCGGCCGGGGGCTAGAACACTAGTCCGGTTCGCCGGGGGCTAGAGCACTAGTCGCCCAGGTAAGTCCCTGACGCCGCGGAGGCGGGACTCCAGGCGGAGCGGCTCCCTGTACCTGCCATGGCGACGCTTCCGGACCAACCGGAAGCATACCGCCCGGAACTACAACTCCCAGGAGCCCGCGCGGCGCGTCCTGGTCGACGCCGGGGGAGCGGCCGCCATTGTCCGCCGCCGAGGTGAGGCGGTTGCCGAGGCGGTGAGGCTGTCGCCGCCGCCGCCGCCGCCGCCGCCGCCGAGGACTGGGAGGGTCGGGAGAGCGAGCGGCAAGACGCGTCGCCTGCCATCGGGGCCAGCGCGGCGCCAGGGCGGGTCCCGCACCCGCCCTTTCCGCGCTGGCTTCGCGCCCCCGTTTCCCTTGGTTCTGCCACCCTCCCGCCTCCCGCCTCCGGGCTCGCGGCAGCGCTGGGCCGGCTGGGCGGGCCCGGGGGAAACCCTGCACGTCCGGCCTGGCGCCGGGTCGCGGCCGCTGGCCCGGCACGCCTTTGTCTCCCCCGCCGCGCGCGAGGATCCCAAGTGCACCGCCGGGCCGAACCTTGGAGCGGAACAAAAGCCGGACGCCCCCGGCCGAGCGATCCCGAGTTTGCTAAGTCGCTTGCCGAGAGCGGCGGGGACCGGCTCGCAGGGGTGGGAGGCCGGGAGCCGCGGACCAGGTAAGGCGGGCCGCTCGCCGGTACGGGCGCCTCAGCATCACCTCCGTCCCGGGGACGTAGAGGAAGTCGGGCGGGAGGCCAGGCAGCAGGTGGTGAGGACGCCTCGGAGGCTCTTCCTGGGAGTGAACACCTTTCTTTCCCCAGCGGGTGTTTCTCGTCCCCGCGGGTTCACCGGAGGCGCTGACGGACGACGTCGAACGTGGGAGGGGAACAGGCCTCGGTTCCTTTAAGCTTGCGGTGACCGCGGACTTTGTTAAGTTGCAAACAACGGTGCAGAATAGTTTGCCTACTTTGAATTTTGGCACAGATCCCGGTGTTCCCGGGGCCCAGTAGGCGTCCTGGTGCTTTAAACACACTCTCAGGAATCCGCAGAGCTCTGCCAGTTGGCCTTGGGACCCTCAGAGAGGTCTCGGGACTTGCACAAAGACCTGGAACCTAGGGAGTTGGTGGTCTGGGCTCCACACCAGGAAACAGGCTTGGGCCTGGTAGGTTTTGCCGGTTGATTTCTTGCTTGTCTCCCCTCCTTCCTTCTAGGTAAAATTTGCATAACATAAAATTAACCATTTTAGACTACAAGTCAGTGGTTTTTGTTGTATATTTAGAGAGCTGTGAAATAAAAAACTATCTAATTCCAGAACATTTTCATCACCTCCCAAAAGAAACCCCTGCACCCATTAAGCGGTCAGTCCGCATTCCTCCCTCCCCGCCAGCTCTAGGCAGCCACTGATTTTTTGGGTGGTGCAGGTAGATTTTACAGTAATTTTTGTAAATCACCGAAAAGTTACCTGGAAGTTGTCACTGGCTGTCTCTTGGGAGCCGTTGACAACTTCTCATCCTGGATTGTGCTCTCTTTTCCAGCTTATTCAACTCACTCTTCATTCTGTTGTTTTTGACATGTAAATTGTTGTTTTTTTTTTAAGATTTTGTCAGAGAGAGCGCACACATAAGCAGGGGGGAACAGCAGGCAGGAGAAGCAGGCTCCCCACAGAGCAAGGAGCCCCACGTGGGACTCCATCCCAGGACGCTGGGATCATGACCTGAGCCGAAGGCAGATGCTTAACTGACTGAGCCATCCTGGCATCCCTAAATCCTGTTTTCTTATAATACTCCCTAGAAGTCTTCTGTTGATTCTGTGGATGGGCTGTCTTTGTTCCCTCTGGATCTCCTCCAGAGAAAGGACCACTTTTGTGTTTTCCATTTGTCATTAGGTTGGTACTGCATTTGCATTCCGTGAATCACCCGAATCCCGTGCACCTGGGCAGGCACCTGGTCAGTTGATCTTGTGAGATGGCAGCCATCAACCCGTGGGCCTCGTGGGGTGAGTCCAAATTCTGTTTCTTCTGGGCCGCCTCAGCAGCAGCCTGCTGCAGCCAGGGGTCAAGCTGGGCAGGAGCTGAGGGTTTTGGGAGATGGAGGGGGTCTCTTGGTCTTGGTATAGAATTAGAACTGAGTGACATTTAAAAAAGAAAAAACGGGCACCTGGGTGGCTCAGTTGTTAAGCGTCTACCTTCGGCTCGGGTCATGATCCCAGGGTCCTGAGGTCAGGCTCCGAATCGGGCTCCGTGCTCAGCGGAGAGCCTGCTTCTCCCTCTCCCGCTCCCCCTTCTTGTGTTCCCTTTCTCGCTGTGTCAAATAAATAAATAAAATCTTAAGAAAAAAAAAAAAGATTAAAAAGAAAAACAACTTGGTTGTTGGTGAAAAGGGAAACTTGTTGGTGTAAAACACCATGTGATTTTTGTATATTTTATAGTCCTAAGATGTCTTATTAGTTCTAAGAGATTTTCTAGTGATTTGTGGGATTTCTTAGACAGTCATACATCCAATCAGAATTTCTCTATCACTGCTATATTTTACCTTTATTTTTGCTTTTCGTTTTTATAGCATTGGATGGGCTCTGTTTATGGAACTTTGTTACACCCATTAGTGAGGCAGATCTCCTTTTCCATTTTGTTGCCTTTAGTCACTAGGATTGTTGTCACAGTGCCTTTCCTTTACTTGTCCTTACCTGATCTGGTGCAGGTGTCCTTACAGACCAGTCCTGGGGAATGGCGGCTGTTGACCCATGGGCCTCCTGGGGTGAGTTAAGAGCCTGTGTCCCCATTGGCCATGTTGGTTGCTTGTCCTGGCTTCGCCCAGAACTGACCTTCCTTGGCCAGGAATCAGAGCTGGGGAATTTAGGGCTTGGGAGAGTGGGGGACTCTGGTCCAGATCTGTCTCTGTGCAGACCTGGAACAGGAAAGGATCAGAACGTGGCACTGGGAGATAAAGTGATGGTGACACCTCCAGGACAGGGTGCATGAGAATAAATGTGTGGCCATTTGTGGCTCAGGCCCAGAAAGGATGTGAATGGCACTGCTTCTCCTAGACAGTGCCTCAGAGCAAAGGGGGGCAGTGCAGGGTTCATGTTTAGGCACATCCCTTATCTTCTCTGAGCCCCATTTCCTTCATCTATAAAATGAAGAGATGAGTCTTTTCCTTTGCCCAGCAGAGAGGGCCAGGAACTGGCTCTCCCTGAGCCCTCCCCCCAGGATAAAGGACTTATGTGGGCATAGTTCTGGCAGGGAGAGCTGCCTCTGTGACTTTGTTTTCCTCCCCAGCTCTATGTCCTCAGGACTCCACCTGGCATGTGGAAGAGAGCCCCGAGGAGGAGAGGAGGGCCACTGGGCTTCCAACAGCCCAGGTCCAGGTGAGGTGGGCTTCTACTTTTTCCTGAAGGGCTGTCCTGTCCCTAAGGTGTCCAGGTTGTCCCCCGCCATCCTAGTCTATATGTTCCTCACTTTATAACAGCTAGAGTTTGGGTAGAGAAGGAATTGGCCAGAAGTTTATTGCTTTCTGAGCATTCAGGAAGAATTTAAACAGTTTTCTATGACTTGGAGCCACATTATCAACCAGCCTATTCACATTCCTGAGCCCTAGCTGTGCTGTGTGTTGTTTTGGGGGATCAGGGGCAACCCTTTTAGCTGGCAGCCCCCCTTTCCTCCTCCCACCTTACCTCATGTATTCAGTGCCTGATTCAGTTTGATGCTGTCCTGTGAGCTCTGTGCTTGCTGAGCTCAGCAAGGAACATGGACGAGTTCAAGCCCTGGTTCTGAGGAATTCTCAGTCCCTTTTCCAAGATGGTTCACTCAGCTACCGAGACCTCATGGCCTGCTGGTGGTGTGTATGTGGTTCAGGACATGAGCTTGAGACGCTTAGGGAGGCCCCAAGCCTTGGAGGAGCCGAGCCCAACTAATGCCTTGGGAAGTGGGTCAGTCTGCATAGAGTCATTGGGGCACAGAGCAGCTGGAATCCTTCCACTGAGGGGAGAGAGACTGCCTGGAGACATGACACACTTGCACCGAGAGGTGAAAGGGATTCAGCAGCCTGGTAAGCAGAGGTCTGGCCTTGCATAGCGCCACTGGTGTGTGTTGGGTGCGGGGGCAGGGATCCTGCATGACCAGCATCTGGGTGAAGGCTGACCCCAATTAGAATTTAGGATGGAGAGGCTAGGATGAACGCTGCCAGGCCCTGAATGCCTGCTGCAGAGCCAGGGCTCCATCCTGGTGGTAATAAAAAGCCTCATAAGTATTGGGAGCAGGAGGCGCCAGTGTCTGAAGTGTGGCTGGAAGGATGTCCCTGGCAGGAGCGTGGGGAAAAGGGGGCTGTGGGAAGCAGGCTTGCATCTCAGGTGTCAGTGTGACCAGGGCCTAGGAGAAGACCTGAGAGGTGTAAGGGAGTCAAAGCAGGGGAACTCTGTGACTGTACGGGCGTAAGGATGGCTCCTGAGAGAAACAGGACAGCAGAGTTGATGCGGGAAAGGTGGCAGGAAACAGGACAGCAGGGTGGATGATACTGGGAAGGGGTCACCTCCCTTCTCTCCCACCCAGCCTCTTCATCAGAGGCGGCCACTCACAAACAAAACTGTTTTATAGCAACTGTATTAAAATATGATTCACATACCATAGGTTCACCCTTTTAAAGTGTATAGTTCTGTGATTTTTCATATATTCACACAATTGGACAACTATTACCATCCAATATCTACTTCTAGATCATTTTCATCACCCCAAAAAGAAATCGTGAACCCATTAGTAGTCACTCCCTGTTCCCACTGCCCTCAACCCCTGGCAACTACTAATTTATTTATTTGTCTATTCTGGACATTTCACATAAAGGGAATCATACAATATATGGCCTTTCGTGTCTGGTTTCTGTTTTTAAGGATCATTTATGTTGTAGTGCATATCAACATTTTATTTCTTCTTATGATTCAGAGGCAGCCATTTTTAACTTACTGTTTTTGGTTCCTTAGGGTTATCTCCATATTTCTAAATGAGAGATTTTCATCCTGAATCATGAAATTTACATTTACCTTTTTGACTCCCTACTATGAAAGATGAAGAAAAATAGTTTCATTACTATATTTAGGTTTTTCTTTTTTAAGTTAAAATAATGGATCAAATATGAGATATTGAGATATATAAATATTAATAAAATTTCAACTTTATGCCTCCCCCAAATTAAAAAAAAAATGTAGTGGAATCTCCCAGTTTCAAAGCTGACTGGCGAAGTGCATCGCAAGCTCGCTGCTCCCACATGGCAGCACTGCTGTCCTAGGAAGGCAGCTGGGCTCGAACCACGGGATGCAGAGTGGTGGTGGGTTTGGCATCAGAAATTGGGTGACTGTGTGTTCGCTGCTGCTATGATACATAGTCCTTTTTAGATTCTGTAACGGAATCAGCAGTGAGGCTAGGCTGAAAGATGGGCCCCGAATCAGTCGCTTGGGAACAGAAGTTAGCTGTAATAAAATGCTGTGAAGAAGCCTTAATAACCACTGGGCTGCACTCTCCTGTTAATTTATGTGAGGGTTTCTGAGAATTACTAGGGTTAATGCTGAGAAAATAAAATGGAGAATTAAAATGACAACACCCTCCAATGTCTGAAGAGTTGTGATTTCTGAGTACATGCTCCTCGCCCCCTCCCCACACTCACTTCGGATTTTTCCCTGTGGAAAACTCAAGACTTGAATCATGTGAGTTTTATATTAAGCGAGGTCTTCAGGAACACTAACAAGAGCTCCGTATGTCCTTCTATTGTTCCCTCCAAATTAAATACTGAAATAAAGCATTCACCTGGTGAAAACTTCAAGTGCTGTCATCCCTTGTTATCTGATGAGTAGTCCATTTTGGGGAACATGTTGGATAGTGAAGTTTCAACTAGTGGGAGCCCAGATCCAGTTATTTTGAAGAATAGGGAAAATAATAATATCCCATCTAAAAAATACTCCAGCCAGCTTCCTCAAATGTGGAAACTCTCAAACCCCTGTATAACAATCCACCAATGCTTTCTGCATGATAAACATGCATGTAAACAACAGTTATACTCTGCGCTCATCTCTCGTTGTCTTGAGGATGTGCACATAGTTAGTTGTTTTCCTTCTCTGCAAAGAACTTGCACTAAAATACTAATGAAATTGTGAAGATGCCAAAGAAGTACATCTGAATTTCCCCAGATTCCATGAATGGGCCAACTGTCCATGATTTCAGATAATGCAGGAGCTGAAACCCATCTCAGCACCCTCTGCATCTTCCCTCAAACCTTCCCAAGGCGGCTGGTTAGCAGATTCCATAAAGTGCTGTAGAGAGCCCTGGTAAGTGCTCATACATATGTACAAGGTGAAATGTGTAAGAATGATTGCAGAAAATTTGGGTGAGACATTTTCCAGTCATCCTAGCAGATGTTTGTAAAGTTCAAGTCAGGGTTACCTGGGAATGGAACGGCTCACTCCTTCCGGTCCTAGCTTCTAGGGTCCCTCTTGTCCCCCAGCTGGTAAGACTGGTCCCTGACTTCCCCCATCTCTTCTTTCTGTTTAACATCCAGTCTTGGTTTTGCATTTTCTGCATCTTCAAGGCCTTCAATGAACTCTGGGCCCCAACATAGAGCTATTCAGCTGGGGGTGTTTTTTTTCTTCCTGTTTGGCAGTCCACGATTCCTTCCACTTTGATAACATCTACTGGAAATCTGGAAATACTTTTTTTTAAGATTTTATTTATTTATTTGACAGAACACAAGCCAGGGGGAGTGGGAGAGGGAGAAGCAGGCTTCCCCCTGAGCAGGGAGCCCGATGCGGGGCTCAATCCCAGGACTGGGATCGTGACCTGAGCCAAAGGCAGACGCTTAACAACTGAGCCACCTGGGTGCCCCTGGAAATACTTACTTGTTTAAAGTTTTGTTTGGACAAATCCCATAATTACAGAAAAGTATGAAAAGTAACCAAACATGGTCTCCATTACTCTAAATGAACGGTTAATGTTTTGTCATATTTGCTTAGTTTTCCTTTTACACAGTGTCCAGTCACATTCTTTTCCCATGCTTACGCAGAATGACTGCTTATGGTGTGTACATGGCTAATTTATTTTCATACTCATACATCTTCTATTTCTGTATGTATCACTTAGATAGTAATATTCTATTTTTTAAAGATTTTTTTTTTTAAGTCATCTCTATACCCAAAGTGGGGCTCGAACTCACAACCCTGAGATCAGGAGTCTCATGCTCTATTGACTTGAGTCAGCCAGGTGCCCCTATTCTATTTTTTTTAAAGCAGTGCTTTTCCTATCTAGCTTTTCTGTGCCTTTCTTTGCTTATTCAAGGCCGACTTTAAGGTCCATCCATGTGATAAGTTCATTCCTTTTGCCCTCTGTTCATCCTTTTCATGGATGGGCTTAGAAGTTCCCTGCCCCCACCATTTTTGCTATTCCAGGAAAAGCTCTATGAACATTCTTGTAATTTCACTTTGTGCACACATATATATGTTAATGTAGACATACCCCTAGAAGCAGAATTATGCTTAGTTTTAGGGTGCATGTGTGTTTTCAGTATGACCAGTGCTGCCATGTGGCCCTTTGAAGGTACAAAGCCTCTTGTCACCACTCTGGAATAGTGCCTGTTTCCCTGCATCTTTGCTGCCACTTGGCAGTGTCAGGTCTTTTAATTTTTGCTTATCTCAAGACCAAAAAGGTTTATTGTATTACTTTGCATTTCCTTGATTGCTAGTGAGATTATGTTTTCATATCATTACTAATCATCTTCTCTCTCATTCTTAGATTTGTGTACTCTCTGACCTGTTGAGATGTAGGCATTCTGGATCCTGATTCTTTGCCTTATACGAATTGTCTTTTCCCAGTCTGTAGCTTGTCTTAACTTTGTGGTGTCTTACCAATCAAATGTTTTCCAGGATATTTTTGTCAAACATACCTGGCTTTATTTAGGGCTAGTGTTTTTGTGTCTTGTTTTAAGAACTCTTGTATTAAAAAAAAAAAAAATCTGTCCTATTCCTTTATATTTGTTCCGTTTCTGAGGCCTTCTGTTACATGGTGGGCCTCCTGAAGCAAGTGCTGGGTCTTCGTGTTCAATGAATTCTTGTTCTTTCAGAGCCCATCTGGTATCGCCCTGTCTTGTTTTATACTGAAATCTCCAATCAGGGAAATGGAATTGCAGTTCACTGAAAGTTGGATGTATCTGCTGCCCATTATTCTGTTTTCCTTTTGGCCCCTGATTTAGGTGGTCGCTGCCTGTGCTGCACATGTTCCTCATGTATCCAGGGTTCCTCCGGTCTGTGTTTGCCAGGAAAGAGCAGTGAGGCTGTCTTTGAGCATCCTGCTTTGCTGTGGCTGAACCAGTCTGGTTCCTGATTGGCCTCCCTTTGTATTTATGTGTCTGTGTATCTGCCTCCCAACAAGTCTCACTCTAAGCTCCGTGGACCTGGTTGGGCCAGGACCATCAAGTTGGTTGTGCTTCCGGTTTCCCGGGTATGCAGTTGGCTGTCAGGCCACAGACCTCCCAACCCCGTGTCCTGTGGAAGAGATTTCAACTCCAGGGTTGCTGGTCACCTGAGCAGCCTTAGAACCTCACACATTCTTGTGTGTGAGAAGGGTCTGGGCAGTGTTGCCCAAGTGTAAGTGCAGGGCAGTTGGTGGTCATGCTGCCCACAAGGTGGAGTGGCCAGTTGGGAGGTGGGACAACCGGCAACGCTCTCCTGAGTACAGACTCACCTGTTTTCAGCCTGGTTCTCGCTCCTGCCTTCACTGTATCATTTAAGCTCAGGGCCCAGAGCCTCCCCTGGGAACTTCTTGCACTGTAGCCCCTTCTAACCTGTGGGGCTGGGATCTCCTCTGCTGTTTCCTTGGTCTGGCACACTTTCTCTGTTCCCCATCTTGCAACAGTGTGTGGGACACCACATGCCAATGGCCTCTTCTGGGTATTTCCCATTCTTACAAAACTTTGGGGGATTTTTAAACCATAAGGTGGAATCTGAACCTTGTCTTAGTTCCTGTTACCATTGTAACAAATCACTGCAAACTTAACGGCTTAGAACAATATAAATTTACTCTCTTGTTCTAGAGCTCAGAAGTCTAAAATGGGTCTGTAGGCTCTTGGCAATCGGCCAGCTCTATCTTCCCATTGATGCCTCTTGTTTGGCATATATTGTTATGTCTTCTCCCCCTCAGAAGTCAATAAATGATAATATTTCTCAAAGACAAAAGAAAGGGGGGGTCTCTGTAGGGCTGTGTTCCCTTTGGAAGCTCCAGGGGAGAATCTGTTTCTTTGCTTTTTCCAGCTTCTGGAGGTTACCTCCATTTCTTGGCTCACGGTCCCCACCTCCATCTTCAACGTGCATCACTCCAGCCTCTGCTTCCAATGTCCCATCTCCTGCTTTGACTCAGACCCTCCTCCTCCACTTAAAGGGACCTTTGTGATTACACTGAGCCCACCTGGATGATACAAGATAATCTTCCCAAATCAACATCCTTAACGTAATCACACCTCTGCAAAGTCCCTCTGTCATATTAAGATAACGGTCATAGGTTCTGGGGTTTAGGATGTGAACATCTCAGTGGGGGGCACTTTACAAACACCCGTGTTCAGTAACAACAACCATCAGCTATCAGCTTTCTGCCTTTCTTTTCATCTATCCTGGCACTTTTTGAAAACTGGAATATCTTAAAGCAGATCTCAGCTATTCTGTCATTTTGTTTATAAACACTTAAGTGTGTATTTCTAAAAGGTACATAATTTTTAGAAAATACCTTTATCACTACCTTTATCACACCCAATAAAATTAACAGTAATTCCTTATTAGCTAATACCCAGGCAATGTTCAGCTTTTTCCACTTGTCCCCAAAATACCTTTTATGGTTAGTTGGTTCAAATGAGGATCCAAAAAAGGACCACACACTATGTGTGCTTCATATACTGAAGAAATTAGGTCACTTGTCTTGTTGATTTGCCTGATTTTGCCCTCTCGATGTCATTGGGTGAGTTCCTCTTCCCTTTGTCTCCTGTAAACTGATCATTGGACTGGAGGGCTGAGTAGATTCAGGTCCCATATTTTGGGCAAGATTACATCATTGGTGGTGCTGAGTCCTTCCTACTGTGTTGCATTAGTGGGCACAGGATGTCTGGTGATCCCATTTTCGGATGATGTGATGTATTAGGCTAACAATAGCTGCCTCTCCATTAGTCTTCATGTTATTTAGACATGTTCGTTCCCTGTCTGCCTTTCATGTGTGATTCAGCAGTTGATGATCATTGCCAATGTCCACTATTTGATTAAAGGTGGCAGAATCACTTTCGGTCCTTCAGTGTCTACTAGATGTAGTTCTTCTATACCTTTTTAAATTTGTGCACGGGGATTCCATTATGGTCTTGGGAGGGGTGGTTAGCCTGGTGGTTGACTTGTGGCTCAGTTCACCAGGTTGATAGCTGCCAGGGTGTGGGTTTGAACCCTGTTAAGTATAGGTGAGCTTGGAAGCCATCAAGTAGATGCCACCTTCTGGGGAAATTAGGTGGTATGAAGTGAGCACAGCAGGAGAATCCTGGTTAGAAAATATGGCCTCCCACCTGTTCCCCCTGGTGTGATGGCTCCGTGAAAGGACACTGAGCTTATGATTTCAGCTCATTTAGGCTTTGTGCACTTCTCTGTCCAAATGTTCATTTAAATTAAAAAGTTTATGTTACGTAAAATATAGAAGTATCACCCATCAAGGAAACTGAGGCCTAGGCAGGTCTATAAAAGAAAACCAAGGTATTGGCCTTGAGGAGTCCAAGGTTAGGCATAGTTTCACTAAGAGAGGTTGGGCTGAGCAGTTTTAAGTGCGTTTCGGAGTAATGGAATCACTGCAGCAGAATCAGTTCTGTGTTTCAAGCCAAGCATTGTGTGAAGGTGGAAGGGGAGCAGTTGAGACTGACAGAGTAAAAGTTGGCACACAAGACCCGGTCATGACAGCTGACCCTGATCAGAGATAACAAGCTCAGTTTGCCTTGACTAGCAGGGGCAGAAAGGAAGGCCATGGGAAAGGCAGTGACATAGCAGGCTGTGAAGGCATGGGTAGAGGCTCACAGGACTCTCAGAGTGGAAATTCACTGACACAGAGGTAGACCAGAAAGCCAGTTTCCAAATGGAGGGGAGGACCTAGAAGCTGTCAGGGCCTGTGGAGATTCTAACATACTACCCATGTGACAGCTCACTCCCACTGCCACCACAAGGGAGGGCATACTCCACTCCACCCTGGACTTGCTGAGATAACTGAGTGCTTAAGAGCACTGTGAGAAGGGCACCTGGGTGGCTCAGTCGGTAAGCATCTGCCTTCAGCTCAGGTCATGATCCCGGGGTCCTGGGATCGAGTCCTGTGTCGGGCTCCCCACTCAGTGGGGAGTCTGCTTCTCCCTTCCCCCTCCTCCCCCCTTCGTGCTCCCTCACATGCATGTGTGCACGCTCTCTCTCTCTCAAATAAGTAAATCTTCAAAAGAGCACTGTGAGGGATGCGTTTGTTGCCAAAGTCAGACTTAGGTTATAATTCATCTTCCTCTCTAGTTTTCTAGTGAGCATTCCTGCTTCTATTTTTCCTAAAAAGCTCAGTTGGAACATTTTAAAACTCAAGTGCTTTTTTTTAAGTTTTTTTTTTTTTTATTTGACAGAGAACACAACCAGGGGGAGGGGCAGTGGAAGAGGGAGAAGCAGACTCCCTGCTGAGTGGGGAGCCTGACGTGGGGCCTGATGTGTGGCTGGATCCTAGGACCCTGGGATCATGACCAGAGCCAAAGGCAGAGGCTTAACAACCACCCAGATGCCCCAAAACTCAAGTGCTTTTTGACAACAACTGTAGCTGATTCTCTTTGGCCTGGGCTACTCTCCTCAAACCTGTCTCACTCTGAGCTCCAGTCCTTGGGACAGAAAAGATCTGGAAATGGAAACCTCCCTATAGTGGCCAGGAAGACAGCCTGTGAATATTTAGATCATCCATCCAGGTCCTAGATCCACATGTTGAGCAGACTCCAACCCAGTGCTTGTAGTCTTAAGTATCTTCATTTCCAGAGAAGGTGGCGGGCATTGCCCTGGTGGGAGTCCCATTCTTACTAGCCAGTATTACTTGAATTGGATAAGAGCCTTAGGAGAGACCTGCTCATCTTCATTGTGGTTGTTATGGGGCCACATACCCAATTCCCTAAGAGTACATCCCAAATACAGGGCCCTTGGGTTGCTCCCAGTGGGACCTGACCCAGATCAGTTAGAGAACTGAACGTATCCAGGACAGTTCCTCTATACCCTGTCTCTTCCCCAGGGCAGTCAGCCTCACTCTATCCCCAGAGAACACGGGAGGGTGTGGCAGCAGGCTGAGGAGGAACATCTGTGCTCTTTTAGGAACCAGTGACCTTCAAGGATGTGGCGGTGGACTTCACCCAAGAGGAGTGGGGACAGCTGGACCCTGTTCAGAGGACCCTGTACCGCGATGTGATGCTGGAGACCTATCGGCATCTGCTCTCTGTGGGTAAGGCGGAGCTGCCTGAGTAAATGAAGCGATTTCCATTGCAGTACTTTCTGCTACTCTGTGTTTAAAAGCTCACAGGCTATAACTGTGGTAATGAATATTAACTAGATTTTTATTACCATTTCACAATGTATACAAATATTGAATCATGTGTACCTGAAACTGATATTATGTAATGTCAGTTCTATCTCAATTAAAAAAGTTACCAATCCTTGGGGCACCTGAGTGGCTCAGTTGTTAAGCATCTGCCTTCAGCTCAGGTCACTGCTTCTCCCTCTCCCACTCCCCCTGCCTGTGTTCTCACTCTCGCTGTGTCTCTCTCTCTCAAATAAATAAAATCTTTAAAAAAAAAAAGTTATCAATCCTTAACACCACCACCAACAACCAATAACACTCTTTGGTAAATCTAAAAAAAGACCTCATGGGCATCTCAGAAGGATTGAGATGATCTTGAGCCCTGATGTTCAAGGACTAATTCCTAATGCTTATAAAGCATGAAGTGGGAGAGACTGTGCTTATTCTGCCCCAGTGAGAACTCAGGGAAGAATAGGCAAAGATAGTTTACAAAGCTGTGTTTTTCCTCCATGCACAGGGAATCAGATTGCCAAGCCGGAGGTCATCTCTCTGTTGGAGCAAGGAGAGGAGCCATGGTCAGTGGAACAAGCATATCCTCAAAGCACTTGTCCAGGTGAGGGCAGGCCCCAGGTGGGAGCAAGGAACTTTCCTCTAAGCCCTCCTTGTTTGAGAACTGGGCTGAGGCTGTGAGGAGTTACCTTCCTCAGACATTCACAGTTCCCTCCAAGGAGCTTTATCCCATGTGTTGACTTTTCTGCAGCTGTTGATACAGAGCAAAGATGGCCACCTTGTTAACAAGGTAACAGTTTTTGTGAGCTGCAGTTTCCCTTCCTTGCCATCCACTCTCCTAATACCACCTCTCATATTCTCTGCTGCCCCTCTCTCGATGATTTCTTGCTCACTTACCTGCTTTTAATTTGTTCTTATTTCCTTTATTGCCAAACTTGTAGCGAGGGGCCACAGACCCCTCTTCCTCTTCTTTTCTTTTTTAAAGGTTTTTATATAGGTAATATATTTACATGGGTCAAAAACCCAGAGCTACATAAAAGGAGTAAGCTGAAAAATCTCATTTACTTTTGCTGCTGTTGTTTACATTATTCTTCCCATACCCCTACACACACAGGGCACACACAAAGGTAGCCACTTTTTTACTATAAATTTTTGAGCTATTTTCTTAGTGGTTGCCCTGGGGATTATAATTAACATCTGATTTTATGACTCTCTAGTTTGGATTAATACCACTAATTTTATAGTGTACAAAAATTTTCCTTCTGTATATCTCTGTTCTCCCCCATTTATGCTGTTATTGTCACAAATTACACGTATATATCGTATGTCCGTCAACATAGACTTACAATTACTGCTTTGTTTTTGTCTTTTAAATAAGATAGGGAAAACAGTTACAAACAAAAAATGCATTTGTAACATCTTGTTATATTTACCTATGTAGTTATCTTTATTGGTGCCCTATATTTTGACTTACCGTCTAGCGTCCTTACATTTCAACGTAAAGGACTTCATTTCTTTTAGGGCAGATTTGCTAGCAGACTCTCTCAGGTGATGCTTATCTGGGAGTGCTTTCCTTTCCTCTTCATTTTGGAAGGAAGGTTTTGTCAGGTACAGAATTCTTGGTTGACAGTATTTTTCTTTCTAGCCTCCATGGTTTCTGAAGAGGAATAAACTGTTAATCATATGAGGATCCCTTGTATGTGATGAATTTCTTCTCTCTTGCTGCTTTCAGGATCCTCTCTTTGGCTTGTAATAGTTTAATTATGATGGGTGTTCTAGATTCCCAGGAATATACTCTAACTTTTCAAAGCCCTGTGAACATCTCATCCCTCAGCTTTTTAAAAATCTTTTTGGTTTTGTGTCTTGTTTGCCTCAGCTATTTTCCATCATCTCAGGCAGTACGACTTTTTTAATACATTGCCTGTAAATGTTTAACAAATACCTGCTCCATAGAGGCTTCTAGCCCCTTACAACCTTTCAAGGGAGGTCTTCCAGGGAACCACCAAATAGGTCAAATAATGACTGTTCTTTGGGAATGAGGGTTTGGGAAACCTCCAGCTCTAGTACCTCTAGGACCAGAAATAAGGGCTGTAATTTTCCAAGGCTGCTGCTGAGCTGGGGAGCCAGAGATGGGACTAGGTTAATTTACAGTGCCACAAAGCTCACTGTTATAAAAATTCAGCTGTTTTACTTGAATAAACTCTTCCCTTGGCTGTTTCAGGACTTTGGTTAATTTATAAAATTCTGAGGAAATTGATTCTGACAGTTTTTGCCAGTGTTATGGTTGCTCTTAGGGAATGGTGAAATTTCAGAGGCCCTTATTTTGCCCTTTTTACTGACATCTTGCTGCAGATAATCAGTTTTAATAATTTCTATTGTATTTTTCCACTTTCTTTATACAACTACAAACATATAGGGATATGATTATTTTCATCTATCTAAAAGTAGGTTATGATACACACTGTTCTGTATCTTGCTGTTTTCAGTTTAACAGTGTGCCATAGCCTGCTCTTAAGTCCTGAAGGTGGATGTCTTCTCATCCATTCTAATGAACTGGTGTTTTTTGGAGTCTCATCAATTGCCCCCATTCAGATCTGAAACCTTCCATCAAGGGCTCATGAATTCCGGTAGCTTTCACTCTGCTACTCTTGGTGCTTACCATCCTGAGTTACCATCCTGGGCCACCATCCTGAGCCTGGTGGTTCCACCAGCTCCATCCTCCCGTCTCTACCATCTTACAAACCACCTCAGATATCTCCTTGATCTCGATAAGTCAGGAATCTCATTTCTTCCTTCTAGATGATGTTTCCCCCTCTTCTTGATGCATATCCCTGGCACCAGCCTTCTGTGAGTCCCCTAAGCTGGAAATTGAGAAGTCATCCTGACCTCCCACTCTTTTCTCTCCAAGAAGCAATCTGTCTTCTACCTCCTGAGATTTTCTACCTCTGAAATGTCAGCTGTGTCATTCAGCTTCCACCAACATCATTCTCAGTTTCCTTACAAAATTCTAGCTCAAGTTAATGCATAAATTCTTATTATTAGTTACCTCAAGTGTTATATCTAGATTTATCTTCCTGAAGTCGTCCATTATGAGGTCTCTGTCAGTAAATCTATAGTGATTAGAGTAGCCTGTTAAATAACTCTGACTAGATTTCAAGACCTTCCAATTTTTTCTATTATTTTTCTCATTTTCTGACTAGGTCATGCCGTATAAGCGCAGTCTATCTGTGTTCAAGCAAGGCTTGAAGGCCGAGCTTATGTCCTTTCTCTGTGTGAAACCTTCCTGGGTTGTTTCTGTCAGTGCTGATCTCCTTTTCCAGCCTCCCACCCACCCAGCATCTACATCTCTGTAGTCTCTCAGTGATACACTGTGTGTATTGTCCCTAACTGTTTAGTATGTCCTCTCATCACATAGATTCTAACCTCCTGGTTAGCCTGTACTTTGTTGTCTTGTCTCTGGTGCTGGATACTCAGGCCACAAGTATCGAATATAAAGTTGGGCAAGAATGATTCATTTGGTCAGCTCTATTTCTTTTTTTTTTTTTTTTTAAAGATTTTATTTATTTATTTGAGAGAGAGAGAATGAGAGAGAGCACATGAGACGGGGGAGGGTCAGAGAGAGAAGCAGACTCCCTGCCGAGCAGGGAGCCCGATGTGGGACTCGATCCAGGGACTCCAGGATCATGACCTGAGCCGAAGGCAGTCACCCAACCAACTGAGCCACCCAGGCACCCTGGTCAGCTCTATTTCTTAAAGTTTCTTTTGGAAGGATTCAAAGCTATATGGTCATCATTCCCTAACTTCTAGGAGCTAAGCTTGAAATTGGTAATAAATGCCAGTTCTTGAGCGGAGTAGAGCCCCTTTTTTAATGGACTTGGATAGTAAAAGGAAGGAAATGGTGTAGAGAGAGTAGAGAAGAAAACCCAGAGGAAGAGGACAAGGGTCCAGGTCCGGTCAGGTGTCTGTGGCTTTACACCCTGGGGTAGGGTGAGCAATGACAGCCCCCACCCGTACCCCCCAAAGATGTCCACGTCTTAAACTGATGAATATGGTACTTCATATGGCAAAGGGGCTTCTCAGATGTGACTACATTTGGAGCTGGAGAGATTATCTCGTATTATCTGAGTGGGCAGTCGTAAGGTCCTTATAAGAGTGAGACATTAGTGTCAGAGACAGAGAAAGGAGATGTGATGATGGAGATGGGATGGAACAATAGGCTTTGAAGATGGAAGAAGGAGCTGTAAGCCAAAGAATGCAGGCAGCTTCTAAAAGCAGGAAAAGGCAAGGATGTGGATTCTCCCCTAGAGCTTCTAGAGGGAGGCTACCCTGATTTTAGCCTAGTAAAAGCCGTTTTGGACTTCTGACTTCCAAAGCTGTATAGTAATAAGGTTTGTTATCTGAGGCTGCAACACATGCGGTAATTTGTTACTTCAGAAATAGGAAACTAATACAGACCCTTCAGTTGTTGGAGGACTGACACCTCAGCAATGATAATGGGTGGCTTCCTTATATTGAATTTGCCAGACATTTCACTGGATTCACGATCTTATGGAATTATTGGAAACATCCTCTAAGGATAGTGCAGAGTCAGCCTTTAAATACAGATTATATCAGACTGTCCCTCCCTTGTCTTCATCATAATATGTTGCCTTTCAAGTCTGTCTCTTGTGTCATTACCCTACAAATGATTCCGTAGTTATTAGAAGAATTGTAACTGTACGAGTATCCTTAAAGTGTCGTGATTTTTGAGCTGATGAATTTTGTCACTGACTGAACAAATAGGAAATGATGTGATAGTTTATTATCATAGATAACATCCTTGCTTAAAACTTTTGTTGGTGATACTTTCTCTTAACCCCACCCCCTCCTTTTGGCGGGGCAGGTGTCAAAATAGGGGAGGAGTCAGGATATTGTAACACAGAAATGATTTAGAACACTTTAATCATTAAAACATTAGTTAAAGGCGTGGTTACTTACTTACTTTTGTAAGCAAGTTATTTCTTGCTTTTTTACCTTAATAGTATTCACTGTGTCCTTTGTCAGGGATCTCCCAGACCACCCTTGGGTTCAGTGATTCCCTAGAAGGACTCAGAGGACTCGAAAGTCATTATATTCAGAGTAATGGTTTATGACAGTGAAAGGATACAAAGCAACGTCAGCAAAGGGAAAAGGCACATGAAGCAAGTCCGGAGGAAACCCAAGTGCAAGCTTTCAGTAGTCATTTTCCAGTGGAGTTGCAAAAGACACATTTAATTCCTTCAGCAGTGAGTTGTGACAACACGTATGAAGTGTCATCTACTAGGGAAGCTTGCCTGAGCCTGGGAGTCCAACGTGTTTATTGGGGATTGGACATTTGGGTGCACAGTGCCTGCATAACTGACTGCAATCACTGAAGCTCCAGATCCCCAGAAGGAAAGCAGGTGTTCACCATAAATGACATTTGTACGAACTATTTACAGATATCGAGACAGTGTGCTTCAAGACCTCAAGCATGCAGAACACTCTTGTACCATTCTAAGACCTCAATTCCTGGTAGTTGGCCAAAGGCTAGTCATGAAACAGGCCTTTGTGGGAATGTGCAAAGTTTGAACAACTCAGGCATGCAGTTAACTTTTGTTTTTTTTTAAGATTTTATTTATTTGAGAGAGAGAGATAACGAGAGAGAGCAGGAGCGGGGATGAGAGGGAGACGCGGGACTCGATCCCAGGACCCTGAGATCATGACCTGAGCTGAAGGCAGACGCTTAACCAGCCTAGTCACCCAGGTGCCCCATGCAGTTAACTCTTCACCACACACCCTTATTCTGGTCTTCCTTTCCATGGGAAAATACCCCTAAATGGTTTTTGCTGGTATCCAGTACACACTTATTCTGGTTAACATTCTTTTTTTTGTTCACTTTTCACTATTCTCCTTTTCCCTACTACAATCTTCTCTGCGTTACAGTTTTATTTAAAAATAAGTCCACATTTGCCTTTTCAATAATATGGACAGTAAATCTCACTTTTCCCACTCTGTTCTTAGAAGTTTTTTTCTCTGTGCACTCATGGCTTTTTTTCCGATTATTTCAGAGTGGATGAGAAATCTTGAAAGCAAAGCATTGATCCCAACACAAAGCATTTTTGAGGAAGAACAATCCCATAGCATGAAGTTGGAAAGATACATATGGGATGATCCTTGGTTCTCCAGGTTAGAAGTCTTGGGATGTAAAGACCAATTAGAAATGTATCACATGAACCAGAGTACAGCTATGAGGCAAATGGTCTTCATGCAAAAGCAAGTGCTGTCTCAAAGAGGTTCTGAATTCTGTGAACTTGGAGCAGAGTATAGCCAGAACTTAAACTTAGTTCCGTCTCAGAGAGTTTCTCAAATAGAACATTTCTATAAGCCTGATACAAATGCTGAAAGCTGGCGGTGTAACTCAGCCATAATGTATGCAGATAAGATTACCTGTGGAAATCATGATTATGACAAAGCCTTGCACCAGTCTGTACAACCTATTCAGCATGAAAGGATGCAAACTGGAGAGAATCTTCTCAAATGTACTGATGCTGTTAAATCTTTCAATCATATATTACATTTTGGTGATCATAAGGGAATGCATACAGGAGAAAAACTCTATGAATATAAGGAATGCCATCAAATCTTTAACCAGAACCCATCATTTAATGAACATCCACGACTTCATATTGGAGAAAACCAGTATGATTACAAAGAATATGAGAATATCTTTTATTTCTCCTCATTTATGGAGCATCAAAAAATTGGTACTGTAGAGAAAGCGTGTAAATACAATGAATGGGAGAAAGTCTTCGGGTATGACTCATTCCTTACTCAACATACAAGCACTTACACCTCAGAGAAACCCTATGAATATAATGAATGTGGGACATCTTTCATCTGGAGCTCTTACCTTATCCAGCATAAGAAAACTCATACTGGAGAGAAACCCTATGAATGTGATAAATGTGGAAAAGTGTTTAGGAATCGTTCAGCCCTTACTAAACATGAACGGACTCACACTGGAATAAAGCCCTACGAATGTAATAAATGTGGAAAAGCCTTCAGCTGGAATTCTCATCTAATTGTACATAAAAGAATTCATACAGGAGAGAAACCTTATGTATGTAACGAATGTGGAAAATCTTTCAACTGGAACTCACATCTTATTGGACATCAGAGAACTCATACTGGAGAGAAACCTTTTGAATGTACTGAATGTGGGAAATCTTTCAGCTGGAGCTCCCATCTTATTGCCCATATGAGAATGCATACTGGAGAGAAGCCCTTTAAATGTGATGAATGTGAAAAAGCTTTCAGGGATTACTCAGCGCTTAGTAAACATGAAAGAACTCACTCTGGAGCAAAACCATATAAATGTACAGAATGTGGAAAATCCTTCAGCTGGAGCTCCCATCTCATTGCCCATCAGAGAACTCACACAGGAGAGAAACCATATAACTGTCAGGAATGTGGCAAAGCATTCAGAGAACGCTCAGCCCTCACTAAACATGAAATCATTCATTCTGGAATCAAGCCTTATGAATGTAATAAATGTGGAAAATCCTGCAGTCAGATGGCTCACCTTGTTAGACATCAAAGGACTCATACTGGAGAAAAGCCCTATGAGTGTAATAAGTGTGGAAAATCCTTCAGCCAGAGCTGTCACCTTGTTGCTCATCGGAGAATTCACACTGGTGAGAAACCTTATAAATGTAATCAATGTGAAAGATCCTTTAACTGTAGCTCTCACCTTATTGCACACCGGAGAACTCATACTGGAGAGAAACCATATAGATGTAATGAATGTGGGAAAGCATTTAATGAGAGTTCTTCCCTCATTGTACATCTAAGAAACCATACTGGAGAAAAACCCTACAAATGTAATCATTGTGAGAAAGCTTTCTGTAAGAATTCTTCTCTTATTATTCATCAGAGAATGCACAGTGGAGAGAAACGCTTTATTTGCAATGACTGTGGAAAAGCCTTTAGTGGTCACTCAGCCCTACTTCAACATCAGAGAAATCATAGTGAAGAGAAACTGTGAATTGAATTGATAGATTTTTCTTTTATTGTACATTTGGCAACACATTGAAAAAGAAAGAAAAACCTATAAATCAAGAGGGGAAATTCTTAGAATTCAGGAAGACTTATTATTCAATAGAAAATATCTTCTTAGAAGAAACCTATGAATGAAAAGACTGGAAAAAGCTTTCAGCAGTTATGTAGCCCTTATTTAACATCAGATAATTACAGTGATGAAAACTCCAAACTCCTCTAATGTCCACCAGGAATCCTGCTTAAGGAACATGAATGGAGGGGATGAGACTTCTTTTCTAGGGAGATATCAACTATTTGTGGATCAAAGTGCATTGTTAAGGGGAAAACCTTATTCTGGGAAGTTTTTCAACTGAAAATACACTTTTGCATCAAGCTGGAATGATAGATGGGAAGCTTTATAGTAACATCTTGTTCATAATTGTGGAAATGCAGATTTTGCTGTTACAAGGGAGGATGTGGGTGCCCTTTAAGGAACAGAATATGAAATACTAAATCTGAATTTAAGAAAAAAATAGTATTGAATGGGATATTTACTGTTGATCAAGATGAACCTTAGAAAAGATTAATAAGTGAGATTACTAATGGTGGAAAGATTGTTACCTAGAAGTATGAGACTGATCAAGAGGTGGCGGTATGCGGCCCAGTGAGTCGGTGTCCATGGTCACTCGTGATTGCGTCGTTGGACAGTTCTTTGGTGATTTGTTTTAGGCAGTCACTATAAGTTGTGATTGTGGACACCGCATCAATATACAGAATGTTAAGGACACAAAGTTGTACATACATGTCTATTATAACATCTAAAAAATGTATACAGATAAAGACTGGAAGGACCCATGGAGAAATTAACCTGGTTAATTTAAGATTTTTTAAAAATTTTACAAACACATACAGCACTTACCATATGCTAGACTTTGTTTTAAGTGCTTTTCACATATTAACTTGTTCAGTCTCCTTAATTCTATGAGATAGGTGTCTTTATTATCCCAGTTTTGTAAGTGGAGAAACTGGGCAGAGATGTTGAGAAACCTACCTAAGGACACACAGCTACTAAGAAATGGAACTGAGATTGTTTGGCTCCAGAGTCATGTTTTTAACTACTATGTTATGCTGCCTCTCCAGTGATTTTTTTTTTCCCTAATTTTTTTCTTTTGTTCAGTTTTCTATAGTAGATATTTAATAATAAAAATCCAGAAATCCCAAAACAATGAGAAATAAAGTTACCTGGCTCTCTGTCCTGAATGATTTCTGGTAACATGAGAGCTAAATTCCCTTTGGAATATGAAATCTGAATTGGATATTCAGAATCACTGCATTTTCTGGGACCTGGGTTCCCTAGGGTTTCACTACCCACAACCTTGAGGATTACAGCACAACAAATGGCTGGAAGACTCACCGGAGGTTTGGGCAATGCTGAGGAATGCCCCTTGATGGGTTTAGAATGGCCCTCATGGGACAGACAGCAAGAGACACCACTGCACATGGGAGCAATATTTCTCAAGGTCTCCCTCGAATTCAGTGTTTATGTTTTCTTCTCTAGCTGAGAAGATTGCTTGATAGTAGGGGGGCTTCAAAGGGAAGGGAGCTCACCACTTCATCAGAGTGAAGAAGTCTCTCTGTTCCTAGTGGAAAGGAGCCAAGATGGATGAGAGGATTTAGGTGACTTCTCTCCAGTTCACAAATATTTCCTGTATTTCCCTAAAGTAGGGCTATAATTAGAGGCTGACAATTCTTGGATAGGTTTCAAGGGTATGGGTTAGAAATCTAGGATACAAAAGGTTCATCTAGTTCTTGCAGGGCCCATGACTTCCCATTGTCTGAGAAAGCGGCCGACTGGTGTGGGGCTGCTGTGTTCACCATCCTGTAGCTGGAACTCACGTAGGTATGTGACATCTGATTCCCTACCTTTCAGGGCTTAATGCATAGTGGTCACCCAATAAATGTTGCAGGAGTAAATTACTGAATGGATTTCTCATGTGATTTGTGCAAAGACCTTTAGAGAGAATAGAATTAGCAACATCTCTGTAAGAGAAAGCAGTATGTATCAAGTCATAGTGTCACTATATGGGTATAGTGTTTTAATACCCGATGTAATACACTTTGAGCAAATTCAGTTTCTCTGATTTAGGGACCCCAAAGGATCTCATAATTCATATACAATATTATACAAGCATACTGACAAATTATTCTATATTACCCAGCTTAATATCCTTTAAAAAAAATTTCTAAAAGTGCCTCTTGTGGCCCAGCTGACATCATAAGTCAAGAGAAAGTCCCAGACTTCTGCTTCCTCCCGGAAGGATCCCCACATTCCTACTACCTGTCACACAGCCCTTATGTGCACAGTGTGCCTTGGATGTTCAGGACTCCCAGGTCCCCTCACTTCCCTTATTCTAACCCATGTATGGCTCAGTTCATTGCCCTTTTGACCCTATCTTCAACTCCTCACCAACTCTGGAACCTTCTGTTGGGCCCAGCTGGAACTCTTATTTGGCCATGAGCTCTCCCTTTTCACCTTCCTGCTGTGATTGAAGGTTGGGTCTCCCCTACGCACAGTTCCTCTTACAATGGCTCCAGGGGTGGCTCCTTTCCCTACCACTTTTCTTATTTGCTGCTTCTAGATTGTTCCTCCCTTCTCTCTAAAACTTACCTCTGATTCTTGGGACATGAGACCATCACTCCAGCTTCCCTTCATTGCAGTCATCTAATGGGTCATTCATCCACATATCAAAGATTTCAGCACCTGCCTTACTGCATCTAGAACCGCCTCCATCATAATACTTCCTGGTTCCATCATCCATCTAGATGATCTTCCCATGCCCTGACCTCAGTTCTTTGTCCCCTCTGCTCATGGTTTTGTCAACCACTAGGCCTATTCCATTACTAGTGACTGGAACACCTCCACATTCTGTTTCCTAAGCTGGTTGACTATTTAGTATCAAGCTTCCAACAATCTCTTGACTTACCCTTGACTTAACCTTCCCTCGTGCTCACTGCCGGCAGACGACTTTGCTTCCTATTTCCTTGAGAGAACAGAAGCAATCAGCAGAGGCCTGCCATAACATCTACCTTCCTTCCACAGTGTCCATGCTTTCCCACAGGTACCTATATATGAACTGACTCGGTTGGCTCCAGAGCCAGTCTCCTCCATACTACTCAAGGTCATTGCTCTAGCAAAGTTTCCCTATCTCATGTATCATCAGGTTTTCCCTATGTACTGGATTATTCCCACCAACATGCAAACTTGCTTCAAAAAAAAAAAAAAAAAA